ACACGCTTTCAGGGTAATGTCCCGCAAACACCCTACTTAGTGCCCCAGGGTCTGATAGCAGATCCTGAAAAGGCAGAGAAAGCGCGGAGAGCGGCTGCATTACAAGCAAAAATAGCCGCTAAGCTAGATACTGGAATTTTGAAGACTGAAGTCAATCCCGAAGAAGAACTAGAAAGGTAATCATATCTTGCAGTTTTAATGTTCTTAGAAAACGAAAGGAACAGATGAGGTTAGCACCATTCCAGATCTAACAAGAATCACATTAGGAACCTAATATTCGACGAGCATGGCAAAACCCTTGATGCAGTAACTGGCGAAGAAGTTCATATCCCACAGTTCGTCCCGACTTTGAAGGTTAAACCAGTTTTTAACATCTAATTATGTTTAGGCAAATCTGCGTGCCCAAAAAGCCCAAAACTTTAAGGAGGCTATGGAAGTGACCACTCAGAAGAAGCCAGTCAAAGTTACAACTTCTAGTCCCTATTTCGATCCTCGTCTTTCGTGAGTCATCCATTCTCCTGACATCCTTTTAGACTGAAGTCCGCAATGCGTCCAAAGAGGACTCTTTCTTTTTACGAGCCTGGAAAGTTCATAAAAATTGGACAGCGTATGAGAACGAAAGCGCAACTTGAGAAACTGCAGGAATCTGTGGCATTAGCAGCAAAACGCACTGGTATAGCAAGTGCAGCTAAGTTGGCGACGATTCAACCAAAAAGGAGCGTTGATGAGACCGTAGTCCCTGACGTCGAGTGGTGGGATTCATATATTCTAAAGGACGGGGTCGAGAGGTGTGTTCGTAATCGGTTTTTTTATTTGCTTTTAGCTACTCTGCTTTAGATGAGACCGATGATGCTTCTTCTATAGTAAACAACGCGTGGATCACTAATTTGGTTGAACATCCTATTAAAATGAAGGCACCAACTGAACTTTCAAAACCACCAGAAATTCCCCTTCTCTTAACCAAAAAGGAAAGAAAGAAGCTGCGTCGCAAAAACCGACAAGATGCACAGAAAGAACGCCAAGAACTTGTTAGGCTTGGATTAATGGCACCACCAGAACCAAAGGTAAGTCTTCTTAAAGTTTGTTTCTATCACTGTAACTATTTACCCTTTTCCTTGGTATTTAAACCTAGTCTATCGCCTGGATTTATTTCGGTTAAACTCCATTCGATCATTCTATTCTGTCGTTTTTTGTTTCAAAGTAAACTTTTCTCGGTTTGGCTATGAGAGTTGATGTTCCAGAACCGCAACTTCTGGGGTCGTTTTCTCTTCACTGGTTAAACATATACGCTCGTAAAACCATCATCTAACCTTCTAGATCACACACTTTCGCTGCTTCCACACTCAAACTTTAAGCCATCAATTAGCTTCGCAACTTTGGAGGTAAACCCCGATTACCGTGGGAGAAAGCCCGCTATTAACATTCTCAGTTACCATCGTCGACAGGGTCCGATCTCTGTCATGGTAGCACCGACAACCATGCCTACTACAGATACACAACTCAATAAATACGCGCGTGCTAGTAAAACCTTTTACACAAAAATACCAGCTTCGAAATTTGGTGTATTGTATATGACCTTACCTCGGGCCCAGAAACTCTAATATTCGAAATTTCTACTCCTGTAATAAAACCCGTGACAACTAGCACAACCCTCGTTTGTCGGCTTTACTCATGTTATTTGAGACCGATAAGGGCGAAGGTCGATCCCATATTTAGGTGTGCAAGGCTTTGCACTGAACGCATGCAGTCTTAAATGTAGGTAGTTATTCCTTCGGTATTATTTATTTTACTTCCGCCGATTGTTTTATTTGCTGTTAGATTATATTTTTATTTTCGTGGGATTTTTGTAGGTGAAACTAGCGAACTTGATGCGTGTCTTGGGCACGGACGCTGTCCAAGATCC